TTCTTTTTTAAAGTTTAAAACCTCATTTAATTTTGTCTTATAGGGTTTATACTGAGTACAATATTGTATAACGGTATTAATTCAACTGTAAACCTAAAAATTTACAGCCAATTTTGAAGGAGATGCATCTTAGCTCTGGAAATTGTTATTGAATATGTCAATGCTGTTGACAGCATGAAATGCTTCTTCTAATTTTATGGTTATTAAATAAATAATTAAAAAAATAAAGAATCCTAAAACGGGCTGGAGAGATGGCTCAGTGGTTAAGTAAACTGACTGTTCTTGCAGAAGACCTAGGTTTGAATCCCAGCACCCACATGGCAGCTAATAGCTGTCTGTAACTCCAGTTCCAGGGGATCCGGTGGCCTCTTCTGTCCTCCGCGGGCATTTCACGACATGGGTGCACTTACCTACATGCAGGCAATACCCGAATACACATAAAAAAAAAAAAAAAGAATCCTAAAACAAGAAATAATTTTCAGTAGAATATGTAAAAAGATGTATGCTGCAATTAGGCATAGCTTACAGAATACATTCTCACTTTTGATTATAAATATAAGATGCTATACTTTTGCTGGAAGAAAGAAGCTATCTTGGTGTCCTGCCACTTTGAAGAGCCATTCCACCTCCAATATGTTTACCTTACCTTCTTTCTCCCTGCAGAAAGTGGTTTCAGTGGTTCAGGACATTAAAAAGAGCTGCTATTGAGGTGTTTCTGTGTGTGTGTTGCTAAGGACCAAATCAGACATTTGCAAATGTTTTGCAAACATGTGACCACTGAACGACATGAGCAGTCGCAGAAAGCTGTGACTGTTAATGTATGCAGTGATCAAGAATAAATGGTAAATGAGTAAATAATAAAATTCTTTTTACACAAGACAGGCACTTCTTTTTCAAGATTTAATCTGTGAAATGTGGGTTAAGAAAGGAGCTGCACTCTGCTCCACTGAGAGGAAGAATCTATTGCTATTTCTATGCTTCTGGTCTTAGGTACACTTGATGTATAGCCCTAGTGACCCCAGAACCATAGACCTACTTCAGTTTTTGCTTCTGGAAGTAAATAACTATGAGGAAGGGATGGTACGAACTTTCTGGGCTTTGTGAACACAGTATATGAAAACATAACATGCTTACAACAGGATGGGAGATGTCATAATCTAAGTAACATAAGGAAAAGGAGAAAAAGCCTGTTTTCAAAAATTCTTAACATTGAAAAGTTAAGAGAGAAGGATGTGGATAAAAGCCAAATGGGCTTCAAAGGCAAGCCAAGTAGATAAGAAAGAAACAAGGGGGCTGGAGAGATGGCTCAGCAGGTAAGAGCATTGGCTACCATACAAGTTTAAGAGCATCACTTTTGTGCAATAGCTGATCTTACTATCTTAACAAAGTTTGACAGTGGGCAAGAGTACATACACTCTAGACTAAGATATGCCTCAGTTTAAATCTGGACCCAGGCACTTAATGTTTGTGCTGGACAGCTTCAGCTGTCAATGTGACATACCTGGAAAGAGGGAACTAAAGTTGGGTAATTTCCCCCATAAGTGATGTGGGAGGGTCCAGCCCAGCCCACTGTGGGTAGTGCTACCCCTGCACAGCTGGTCCTGAGTTGTATAAGAAAGTAGGCTGAGCACAGGCTAGAGGAACAAGCCAGGAAGCAGTTCCTCCATGATCTGTGTTTCAGTTGCTGTCTCCAGGTTTCTGCTTTGGCTTCCACTGATGATACACTGTGAGCTGCAAACAACTAAACCCTTTCCTCCCCAAGTTGGTTTTGGTCAGTGTTTTATCACAGCAATAGAAACCAAAGTAGGACAATGTCCATATGCCCTTGGACTGTTACAGGATTTCTAGTGAAGCTATTCTTTTACTATATTCTCTTACCTGCCATCTTATTTTTGAAATATATTAATCTGATGGTCTCCAATCCTAAAAGATTTAATGATCCCTCAGTGTTTAATGGTCGAACCTAAAATAATAGAAAATGAAATTAGTATTTCAATAAAATCTTTGAAAATTAAATCTACAAACTTTGATGTATTTTTTAAGAACACACTATTAAGACTTTTCATTTATCTATGTCAAAATATGGTTCTCTTTAAAAAATCTCAACCAGTTAATTATTCTGACTAGGAAAGTATAGTCACCTAATTTGAACAAACTAACTTATCATGAAAAGGCTCATCTTAGACAAATAAAGCAAGCAGAAACATAAATCTTATATTTACATTTTAAAAGCCATTAGTGACCAAATAATTAAACTATGAAATTAATACATCTGGCTTTAAAAAAAATTATTTATTATTTTTATTTTATATGTTGAGTGTATTGCCTTCAGGTATGCACCCCTCTCATGCAATGCCCATGGAGGTCCAAAGAGGATGTTGGATCGCCTGGAACCGGAGTTATGGATGGCTGTTAGCTGCCATACAGGTGCTAGGACCCTAACTTGGGTCCTCTGCAAGAGCAACCGGTGCTTTAACTGCTGAGCCATCTCTCCAGCCCACATCAGCTTCGTGAATTTTTATCACCATATACCAAATGCCCACATATCTGGAGAGGAAATGCTGATATATGGAAAGGAAAGGTCGCCAACAAAGAGTAACGAAGGAACCAGTTGTATAAAACCAATAAAATAACTTCATACCATATATAAAAACTCAATTCCAAATGGATTATAGGTAGACATGTAATAAGTAAAATTTATTATGTATAAAATACTAAAAGTAGCAACATGTAGAAAATCTTAGAAACAGTATATCTGGAAGAAAATAAAGAGTGTATCTTTATGATCTTGAAGTAGCAAACTTTCTTAAGAAAGAAAAAAAAAAAAGAAAAACCTAAACAACAGGAAGGACATATTTAAGTACTAATAATTTCTGGGGCTGGAGAGATGGCTCAGCAGGTTAAGAGCAATGGTTGCTCTTGCAGAGGACCCGGGTTTATTTCCCAGCACCCACATGGTGGTTAAGAACTGTCTGTAACTCCAGTTCCAGGGGCTCTGATACCCTCTTCTGACCTCCATGGGCACTGTATGACATGGGTACACTTACATACATGCAGGCAATAACCGCACACACATAAAATAAAAATAAATAAAATATATTACCCCCCCCCCCAAAAAAACAACCAAACAAAAACTAGTAATTTCTGCTTAGGAAAATATATAATAAACATGAACAGATGTCACAATCAGGGAAAAAATTTATCCCATTACTAACCCAGGACCTATGGAAAAGATGGCAAATCCAACAACCATTCCCTGCCCCCAGAAAAAAAGGCAAATATGACCAGGCATTTCATGTAGAGAAAATGTGAACAGTGAATAAACACACAGAAGATTCCCAATCACATAGTTAACTGGAAACCTGCAAACCAATACTTCAATAATATACCAATTTATTACAATTTATAAAATGATGTATGAAAAAAGACGTGGGTTAGGAGGAACTCTTATATGCTGTTCATGAGAATATCATTTGCACTAATATTCTGGAAAATAACATGGTACTGTCTCATAAAGTTCAATGGTTGCAATCCCCATGTATCAGTAATTCCACTTGGAGGCTGACAGACGTAAAGGAGCCCCTCCACACCTACATCAAGAATATCTACAATAGCAAAGAGCTTTAAAAGTAATTCAAATGTCTGTCAGAGAATAGATAAACACTTCACCCAACAGATGGTTTTACAGTAGTGAAAAAGCGACAGACTGTACATAGTACCTATAGCAACATGTACGAATCTTAAACACATAGTAAATGAACAAAGACAGCAAGGCACAAAGTGACACTGAATTGCAACAGTTTAAAAGGATGCAAAACCTAGTAAACCTAAACAATATCATTATTTAGGAATACTTAACTTTTCCAACCCTCTACATTTTAAGGAAAACAAAGGAATGATGATAGCTCAACATACAGAACAGCAATTTCCTGTGAGGAGAGGTGAACAGAACATGGTGCGCACACAGACTCAGTGACCTCAGTGACACTGTTTTAGTCTTAGGTAAGGGGCTGGGCTCACAAGTGATCAGCCAAGTGTTATGCCCATAAAGGTCACATACTTTTTCATACACTGCAAAAAGTACATTAAAAAAAAAACCCAAACAGAAAACTGTGGCCAGCCCAAATTTACAAAGTTGAAGACCATATTTTAGTTGCTCGATATTATGTGGCAATATTTAAAGAGGTTTTACACTACCAGTATGGCTTAAAATTGGGGCATATTTTGAATTACCTTGGCTACTTTGTTTCGCCTCTTCCTCTGAAATGACTTTTAACTAAGGGTATACATGCTCCATAAGCCACATGTATCTAATTAAACTATTACCCTTCATTTTTGCAAAACAGCAACCCTGTACTTGTAAAAATTGTGTTAAAGAAATGGAGAAATGATAATGGAAAATATTATGTTTTATTAGGCATATGTGAAACCACTATTCTTATATCATGAGACACCTAAAAACAGTTTTTATATTAAGTATTTTACTTTTCTAGTCTGTGAAACCTGTTCCTAAGGGATCAAACACTGCAATCATTGCATGAAAAGCAGTTATAATAAATAATAATCAGATGCTCCTTCTGAGCTCCTTAACCCAAAGCAGATGACAGTACTGGCATTTTAGGTTGTAGTATGTGTTCTAGCTGCTCATCATGACAGCAATTAAATGCAATAAATGTGGTATGGTGTTAAGCTACCTATAATAAAATTAACCATCTTAGAATTAAGCCATTCTCAGAAAGACAAATATCTTACGTCTCTTCTCATATGTGGTCCCTAGACTGTATGCGAAATATGCAATCCGGAAATGTTGGAAACACCTCTGAAAGCATAAAATGAAACTATTAGAGAGAGAGAGAGAGAGAGAGAGAGAGAGAGAGAGAGAGAGAGACATGAAGGGAAAAGCACAAATGTCTATGGGAAGAAAAGGGAGGGGAGCGGCAGGGTTCAGGGGTAATATGGCTTAATTTACAATGTATACTTTTATGAAAATATCCTATGTAACACAGTACAATGCACAATGAATATATGCAATGAAAAAATTTTAAACATTAAAAACTTCTAAAATTAACCAACAGCCCATGTTTTAGTGTTATATTACCTTTTTGAGAGGAAGAGTCTGTATCCATTCCATGGAGTTTACATCAAAGATATCAACTGCATTTTCACTATAAACTGAGAGATAAGGTGCATTGTAACCTGGGAGAAAGAAGGAGGGAACAGACTGCTGATTACTATGAACCAATAAGCCCCAAACACTTTGAAAGGTATATCCTAAGCAACTGTAGCATAGAATCCCATTAGAATCCCATTGTAAGAGCAATGTTAAAATGTGCTTTTGAAGTAAGCAGAATATAAATCATAAAGGAAGATAAACCAGATTATATAGCCCAATATAGAAGTCAATTAACATACCTTGCCCAATAAAGTAATCCATTGCATTTTGAAATATTAGACTCAAAGCACTTACATTGATGACAGTGAAACAAACATACAAAGCAGAAATCCTCACCTAAGTGTTCTAGTCTCAGAAAAGCAAGTGTGCATGATGTATGTATACATCACATGTTCAGTTCAGAAGTGGAGATATGTATTACCTTAGCAGTTTCAGGACTAGAGTGGATGTGCTGCATGTAATTGTGGAAGCAAAAAGTATTAAATAAATGGTACACAAGCAGACCAAGTGACTTACCTAAACCAAGGTTACTGCTGAATGACAGGCATAGTTAGAAATAAGTCAGATATTTTAGCATTAAAAAATTTTATGTGTGTGAGTGTTTTGCCTGCATGTATGTAAGTGCACTATGTGCATGCCTGGTGCCCACAGAAGCCAGGAGAGGTACTGGATTCCCAGAACTGGAGTTAAGGACAGGTGTAAGCTGCCATGTGGATGCTGGGAACTGAACCTGGGTCCTCTGGAAGAGGAGCAAGTGCTTTTAACTGCTGAGCCAGCTCTCCTACCCCATATATTCTGATTTTTACTCCACATTAGAACACTGAATTATCTGACTCAGTCACAGAAGAGCATCCATTTTACACATTATGTCACTGATAAAAATGTACATTTCAAAAGTAATAAAACATTAAAAAGTTAAACCTTGCCGGGCATGGTGGTGCACTCCTTTAATCCCAGCACTCCGGAGGCAGAGGCAGGCGGATCTCTGTGAGCTCAAGGTCAGCATGGTCTACACAGTGAGTTCCAGGACAGCTGGGGCTACAGGGAGACCCTGCCTGAAACCAAACCAAACCAAACCAAAACAAAACAAAACGTTAAACCTTGATGGGTAGGATTAGAGGTTTGCTTCTGCTGTTGTTCTTTTAATAGAGATTTCCTTATTTTTCTATAATATGCCTTTACTGTCCTTGTACAATTTCTCTACTGAGACTTAACTGGATGGACCCATCTATCCATCCATCTTCCTGCCCCGGTAGTTGCTTTGTCAGAGTGAATTCCATCTACTTGGCCTTCTTGAGGAATCTTCTTCTATTCTTTGTATTTCCCAGATACTCAGCCTTTTCCTACTGGTTCCCCAATGTCTTTCTTTTCAGCGTTCAAATAGGCCCAAGAGTCCTGTATTACAAATAAAACAATCCAGAGCAGACACTCCTTCCACTGCTTGCCTTGGTAACACACATTCTATCCAACCATTTGTTTGACCCTGAAGCTTTTCTTTGACCCTGCTGTGCTCCATGAGGGCACACTGCATCTATTCCACTCATGACTACAGCTCAGATAGTGAAATATGTATTCAATAATGATTGTATTATTATTCAGTAGCAAAAGTACTTAATAATAGTTTAATATTTTTGAAAGTGAAATAAGCAAATTTAAATCTACATGTCTATAAAAAATATTAAAATGCAGTAACACTTCTTACAAATGCGGCATTATGCCTTTAGATAAGTGATCAAACAATTTCCTTAGTAGTATGTCTCCAGAGTAAGTCCTATGAGCTCCTTAAGAGCACTGCTTTGGGGGATCATGAAGAGAACAATTCTGGGTTATTTCAAAACATAACAACAAGGGGATAAAACATGCATCTCAGTAGAACACTCCATAGAAAGATTAGTTTTAATTAGGTGCAGGTTAATGTTGACTCTGCCTAGGCCTCACAATGTATGATTGATTACTTTATATAAGGAGCGTGTAATTAGTAATTAGGAAAAGCCTTAAGAATGGTTAAAGAACTAGCTATTAGTAATGATAATTACATTTAGATGAAGTGGGAAGGAAAAGGAAGGAGGAGACAGAAAATGACAGCTATAGGAATCTTACAGCAAGAGGAAGGATTTGCTGGCCACATCAATTCCTGCTGTCTAGATCTTCGGCCCTGGCAGTCCGTGTATATCCCAATGCTGTTAAAACACAGCAGATATTCTTTACTGGAGATCTCAACTGCACAGATAGCATCCATTGGCTGATGCACAATGAATGACAGAGTGTGGTCATTTGAATGGAGCATATTGCATGGACTTCCTTCTCCATTCAAGGGGTATCTGAGAAATCCCGACTGGAATCCCACACAGAGTTGTTCACTGAAGATGGCCATCCACTGGACAGTATATGGAACTTGAATTTCCTTAAATTTCCTGTGACGGGTCTTGCTTTGAAGCAGTTCGTAACAGAGGACCTGTCTTTTCATAGCCACACACAGGCAGGTCAGAGCTCCATGGCGCACTTTCCCAGCAGTTATGGTTTGGCACCCTTTAGTTTCTGCCAGCTTGTAAAAATCTGTCTCTCGCCCATCCAAAGCTGACATTGGAAAAAGTCGCACATGACGATTTCTTCCTGAAATCACAGCCATAAGCTGGTCACTTGGAATGAGTTCAATCTGATGGATCTTCTTACTGTCACCAACTCTAATAATTTCTACACAAGGAAATAAAACATCAAATGCAACAGTTTTACTAATCATGCCCAAATTAAACTCAAAAGGATGTAAGTCAACTTGTAGTGAAGTATAGTTGCCCCCTTATATACAAGAATTAAAGATCAGAAATCACACAGAAAAAGGAAGCTGACTGAACCCATCGTCAGATCGTTTATCCCACCTATAGCTGGTATTAAATTCAGCCTTGAGAGCTCTGTCAGCCAGTCTGTCAGCCTCTTACACTGTTACTTGTGTAAGAGAACACCAAAACTTCAATAAAAATTTGTTTATTGGTACTAAATTTCAGGGAACTTCACCATAGGATTCCTAATTTTAAAAACCAAGTAACTGAGCAACTTGTATTTCTTTTAGGTATTTCTTTTGAGTATGTGTGCGAATGCGCACATGCACAAGCACGTAGTGGTCAGAAGTCAACCTAGGGTATTCTTCCTCAGAAGCCATTCGCTGTGTTTTCTTTTAATTAAAATACTTATAGTGTGTGTGTATATATGTGTATGTGTGTGTGTGTTGTGAATGGTGTGTGTGTTTGTGTGTGTGCCATGGCATGCATGTGGTGATCAAAAGATTAAAGGAGTCAGTTGTCTCCTATCTTTATGTGAGTTCTAGGGACGGAACTCAAGACACCAGGATTGCACGGTGCCTTTACCTTCACTGAGCCATCTTGCCAGTCTTCACCAAAGTCTCAATGGGACCTGGAGCTTGCCAAATAGGCTAGGTTGGTTGGCCAGAGACCCCCAGGAGTTCATCTGTCTCTGTTTCACCAATGCTCTGTTTCGTCAAGCACACACCACCATGCCTGGCTTTCATGTAGTTGCTAGGGCTCAAACTCAGATACGTGTGCCTACATGGCAAGCACTTTACTAACTGGAGTATCTTCCCAGCCCCTCTCTGAGGGCATTTCTATGGTAACAGACTTTACCAGTTTAAATGAACCCTGCTTTCTCATGATCTAACTAGATATAAACACAGAACTTAAAATACTATGTTTATGAAGAGCAGATTAAATTGGTTTCTCTTAATTTTACACAGCACTTAATTTTTCCCTGGGAGTAAAAATCCTGTTGTATGGAACTATAGGGAAAAAACTTCAAATGACATTTTAGTAATTGTCATCTCTTAAAGTAGTAATAAAAAAAATGAGAAAATCGATTTGTATTTTTCTTTTATATGCCATCTTTAGAAATGCAACAGAACTAGCCAATACAATGATGGAAAGGAATAATACATAATTAAGGTTTTAGAACTTAGAGGAATAAGACTTAAAAATCTCCTGATTTAAAAATACATAAAATTATGCCTGGAAAATTTTAGTAATGGCATCAAAAAGCATAAATTCTTCTCTTTTAAACTTTAGGCTTCAGAGTTTTCTAATATATTATTATTTTTTTAAAATTTTATTATTTTTACTTTATGTGTACAAATGTATTGCCTGCATGTATGTAAATGTACCAGTGTCATGCAATGCCCGAGGAGGTCAGAAGGGAGCGTCAGATCCCCTGGAACTGGAGTTACAGATGGCTGTTAGCTGCCATGTGGGTGCTGGGGTTTGAACCCTGGTCCTCTGCAAGAGCAGCCAGTGCTCTTAACTGCTGAGCCATCTCTCCAGTCCCCTAATATATTATTTTAAATTATTCCAGAATAACTGGGTTTTCTCTTACCATCTTTAGTGACATGCAGAACAAATAATCCTTCTTCATTTCCCAAAGCTATCCTTTCATGATCTATTTAAGACACAAACATAAAACATTTCATTAGCTAAAAACCATGTTAAAGATAACAGAATAAACCAGATAACCAAAAATTTTGTGCAACAATGGAAAAGTAAAAATCAAAATATATGATTTATTAGATTTTTCTCAGATTACAGATTTCTCAGATTTTTTCTCACACCTTTTAAAAACAGAATCATCATTTAAAACATCTACATTTGGGTTTGGGGATTTAGCTCAGTGGTAGAGCGTTTACCTAGCAAGCTCAAGGCCCTGGGTCCAGTCCTCAACTCCAGGGGTGGGGGTGGGGAGAAATCTTCAAAGTTCTACTTCATTTCATTAATCAATTTATGCTAGGCATGGTGGCACATGCCTTTAATCCCAGCACTCAGGAGGCAGAGGCAGGTGGATCTCTGAGTTCAAGGCCAGCCTGGTCTACATAGTGAGTTCCAGGACAACTGGGGCTACAGGGAGACCCTGACTCAAAAAGACCAAAAAAAAAAAAATCTACATTCATTCCTATCAAAAGAAGTAAATACTTATTCAATAAATAGTGAAAAAAATAAAAAACTTTGTGCCATAGATCTGGTTCCATGTGTTGTTTGGGAAGAGAAACCCTGTGAAAAGCATTTGAATTATATTCACTAAGTTTTTCAATATTTACTAGAAAGTTGGATGTGTATATAAAAACTTAACAAAAAATGAAAACTTCCACATACAGAAGATGCTATTTATTGATGACATATATTCTGTTTTCTAAACTTCCCAATAGCCTATATATTACACATAAAACTTAAACTCTAAGAATTAACTTGTCCTAATTCATACAAGTAGGAAAAAAGGTAAGTAGGCTGACCTTGTGCTTTTGGGAAGATAATGCACTTCGAATGGTTTAAGTGCTGAAAGGCACAGATCTGACATAGGCCTTGCTCATTCCATAAACACCTACTGAGATCTGCGGCATACCGTTTATCATGCTAGACTCTGGGGATGCCTATATGAAAGCCATTATCTGCTTGAAATATACATCAGTACAAAATTATGATAATATACATGCAATAAATTCATACCTATGATTGCGGCTGCCTGTGTTGTTTTAATGAGGGGTAGAGTGCTGTCATAGGCCTCTTTGGGAACATACACTGAGCGGTCTCTGAATTTGTTTTTCTTCAGAATCTTGTGGAGCTCACTCAGCACTCCCACCCACTTACTCTTCTCACTCTCACTGTCTGCCAGCAGCAGGACTGAGCATTTGTTACTAGGTGCTGAGAGCTGGGAAGCTGTGACCTAAAACAATTTGATATCCACAGTATTAGAAAATACACACCTTTATGCTAGGGTCAGGGTTGTATTTGCTTGCTTAGCACTCACCAACAGAACATGCATTCACTAACTGCCGTCTTTAACAAAATTCAGCTATGCCTACTGAGCAACTCATTTTGGCATTCCAACTCGTGACAGGCAAAGAGAGGTGATGCTACTCAAAATGATACTGTCATTTTCATGGTCCTTGTTAAGAAAATTCCAGGAGAAGCATGAAAATGCATTACACATACTAATACAACAGCAGACACTTAGTACAGATAGAAAACTACTTTACCAGATGAACCCATTTAATCCCCAACAGTTCATGACACAGGAGCTGTTATTATATTCTAATTTTATATATATAAGAAAGCCATACTAAGGGATATTAATTTCCTAAGGGCACACAGAGCTCAGGCCTATGCTTCTAAGTGCTATATTAAACTGCTTTGAAAGTCAGGAATATTTGTACATACATTCTCTGCTACTTCATAACAATACTTCATATTATCATTAAAGGAGATTAGATCACTTGAAAACAGCATGTAAATTTGAAGGCTTGTAAGTCAATCAGAGCACTTTTAAATTATATATGTATATATCCTTTATATAGTTCTATATGCTTCAAGCATCAGTGACAATAAAATCCTAGTGCAAATTAGTTACAGCTAAATGGGTGTCTACAGGGACTCCTTGGTAACTAGGACAGAATAAATGGTTATTGGCTTGGAAATTGAGAGACTAGGTTTAATCTTTTACCTTCCTTAGATACACAGACAAAAAGTAAGCAGGATGTATGTACCAACAGAGGAGCTAAAAACCAACTCTATTGTGTAATTCACTAAGATGGCTACCAGCAATTCCTCCTATGCAATGAGAGAGAGAGAGAGAGAGAGAGAGAGAGAGAGAGAGAGAGAGAAAGAGAGAAAGAGAGAAAGAGATAGAGAGAGAGAATGAATAAAGAGACTGACATTGCTAAGCTGACAGTGAGCACCAAAGTCACAGAGGTAGGAAAAGATTATTTTAGATGTTCCAGCCCCAAATGAGTTGAATGCAACTATGGGAGTCCTTCATTCAACACCGCAGAGCAGTGAAAACCAAACAGTCACTGTTCGTTTAAGCTTCTTAGTTTTGGAGTACTTGTTATAAAGCAATAGGTAATGGAAACAATTTTTAAAACAAAGGTTTTACAGAGACAGACTTTGGTTTTAAATTTTGAGAAACCTCAAATTTATCCAATTTTCCACGAGGCAGGATTATTTGAAAGTCAAACTGGGACTCGCAATATTATTTAACATGAAGCATACCTTAGAAACATATCTTTATGCTTTCTACAGGTCTTAGCACCAATTTTGTATTCACTCAAATATTGGATAATGAGACATATATAAAAGAACATAAAGTCTTGTCCAGTAAGTTTATGATCTATATAGAGTGGCAAAACACTCATTAGAAACAAGTAATTAGGGGCTGGAGAGATGGCTCAGTGGATAAAATGCTTGCTGCACACATGAGGACCAGAGTTCAGATTCCCAGGACCTATGTAAAAGCTGAGCAGGTCTGCCTGTTACCCAGCACTTTAGAGGTGATGGCAGGGGATCCTGGGGCAAGCTGGCTAGCTAGTCTAACTCTGTGTTAGTTCAGTGGTTAAAGTGCAGTGCAATCAAGGAAGACACTTGATATCATTCTATGGCCTCCATATGCATATGCACACACACAAATGTGTATTCAGACACACATGCATAGCTCACACCAGAAAAACACTCAAGTAGTAACTGCTCAAATGACAACACACACTTACTCTAAATATACAGGGAATATCTTTTCGACTTGCATGAATAACATCAGAAGCCAAGACTGAACTCACAGAAAATTCTTCATCTCTGAAAGAAGAATTAAACATTAAAAGTCAGTATTATTGCTTTGTGTGTATGGTTTTGTTTGTATAACACATGTGAAACAATTCTGAAAGCTTAACTGAATAAATACTCCAAGTGAATTTCAAACAAAACAAAACACATGATTTCCCCACGCAACTATTGACAGTACTCACAGTAATTTACTGGGAAAAACTTGGCAGTGGCACATTATACAAACACTAGAAGTAACTACTGAGTAACCAGCTCTGGTGAGTCTTCAGAGCTCCACTGGACTCTCTTGCTTCCCACAATAAATCTCATGTATACTCAACCCAGTTCATCTGACTTTCTTCTCTTTCTTCAGCACCTCTAACCGTATTCCCTCTGGCTCCCTTATGTTCATCCTTGGTACCACCATTCCCTGTTCTAAAAGTCCTGACACCTTTGTCTTGTCTTTGATTCCCCTGCCCCCCTGCTTTTTTAAATAAACAGTTTGACCCCTGTTTGCCCAGCCCTTCTAATCTTTCTATATTCAGTCCTTCAGGAAGTTTTGCAAGATTTCCCCTGCCAATATTTCTTAGACCAATCCCTTCATATTTTGCCATGTTTGAGACACAAGTGTGAAATGCCAATGTGTGATATGGCTGGAAATGTGGATTCTGAGCAATGGCTAGCTACATCTACATTGGAGCCACATGTGAGATCTGTCAATCAGAAGTGATGGCTGAAGGTACAGGAGAAAATAAAATTCCCCAGGACAGTGCCTGGAGTCCCAGGAAGACAACAAAGGAGGTACTCAAGGGGCAGGCAAAGACTTTGGAAAATGAGACTAGAGAAACCCAAATTCTTAAATGTTTTAAATGTGAATTCAGTCTGTTTTACAAGGGCTAGTATGAGATGTGCTATCCCTTCCTTACACTGAATCACTGTGTATCTTCAGGTGACCATTTAAATAGCATGTTAGGCCTCCTTTACCACATAACCTTCACCTGGTCTTCTAGACCTAAACTTGGGCTTACAGCCCCCACACTCAATACATGTACCCAACCTGTCCTAGAACCATTCCTAACCTCCTAGGTCTTTTTTTCTAACATAGTAGTAGTAGGGTTATATCTGAAAATTAACACAAAATTGGATTACTAACCCAAATCATGGAAATACAAAGGAATCATAAGCTTTAATTCCTATGCTGTGATGGCACACACATCTCTACCCCTCAGGGCTTACCTCATGTCAATCACTTGACTAATGACAGAGCTGGGCTGGGATGCCTTTCCTTCAGCAACATCGTAGAGAAAGAGCTTGAAGTCACACACGACAGCCAGCGCTCTCTGCCACCCTTTCTTCACTCCGGCTGGCTTAGGGATCTCATTTTTGTTTCAGTCAGACAGATAAACAAACACAACTCAAATGAAAATGTCAGTGACAGTCTCTAATTTCCTGTGAATTTGGGGTGGAAACCTGATCATGTACACCAGAAACACATGCCATTAACAAAAGAAAAAGGGAGAATGTACTCTCCAGACACTGAATGGCTGGCTTTCTTTTATCTATAAGGTTTAAATGGCACCATTGTAAACTGGCAATTTACTAAAATAATACTCATGGCTTTTAGAGAAATGGCATAAAAGGCAAATGTGGTAGTAAGATGAAATTCATAAATAAATTTTACTGTCTTTGTTTTGTTTTTCTGAAAGCGGATCTCCCTGTAGCCTCAGTGGGCTTAGAACTCTCTATGGAGACCAGGCTGGCCTTCATCTCATAGAGCACCACCTGCTTTTGCCTCCCAAATGCTGAGATTAAAGGGGTGCACAATCCCGACTGTCTACAAAAATAAATTTTAAAAGATAATCTAACCCTAAAGGTACTCACCCTGACATGACCTTCATATGCTGTTCCTGTTCCTTTTTGTGGATCTATCCCAAGTGGACCTTTTGTCTGCTCAGGAGGAATTGGACAGGCAGTTGGAGCTTTGTTCACACAAGTTATATGACACGAGAATCCACACACTTTGGAGGGAAAAAAAGACACAATGCTAACATTCATTTTTAACAACAATGAAAAAGTTCACTGGGCACTGATTGCACACAGGTGCTCTGTTAGATGAACGCTATTTTAAACAACTACTTTATTACTAGGGAAACTGATCCATTTGCTTACTAATCAGAATTTCAATAAGAAGTGGTAAATATTTTTATCATTTATAATATTATCATTCTCTGTAAATGTTAGTGATCAAAGAAAGACGCAAATAGATAATACCCAACTCTGTAAACAACATGGCTAATTTAAATTTATAATTCTTAAAAAGTGGTCTCTGGAGTTTTTTTCTAGCTCTTCATTCTACTGTAACTTGGTATCTGCATAGAGCTGCTAATGGACATTAATCTACTTCACGTTTCTGCTACATCTCTGCTACTATTTATTTGTAGTGTGCATGTACACATGTGTGTTCAAGTGTGTGGGTACATGTGCACATGTGTGTAAATGTGTACAGGCCCAATGTTGAGTCAGAGTCTTCCTTGGTTGCTCTCCACTTTATCTTCTGAGGCAGGGTATCTCACTGAACCCAGAGCTCAACATCTCAGCTTGCCTTGAAGATCTCATGTCTCCACCTCCTGAGGGCTGGGATTACAGGTGGGCTGTCTGGAGTTTACATGGGTGCTGGGAATCCAAACTTGGGCCGTCATGCTTGACTAGCAAGTGCTTTATCCATTGCCATCTCCCCAATCTGTGGCCATTTCAGTCATTTTTGAAAATGGAATGCTTTGATGACTATAAAGACATGAACTAAGGGCACACTTCAGGGGATACTCTAAGCTCAACCTATAGCCAGGATAGTCAACCTTATTGAGCAATTTTTAAAAATATTTTATTTTTTTTATTTTATGTGTATGAGTGTATTGCCTGCATGTATGTAAACGCACCTGTGTTATGCAATGCCTGTGACAGTCAGAAGAAGGTGTTGGATACCCTAGAACTGTAGTTTTGGACCACTGTTAGCCACCATGTGGGTGCTGGGAACTGAACAGGGGACCTCTGCTAGAGCAATCAGTTTTCTTAACCACTGAGCCATCTCTCCAGTTCCTTACTGAAAATAATTTTTAATCATCTCTACGTTATACACTACTTGCTCAGCAGAGTCACAGAGCTTGGCAGCAGCAGTGCCAACTTCAAAGCCAGAGTCTACTCAGAATTGTCGCCTAGTCACCGACAGCACTGCTCTGCTCCTCTACTTGGTTCTCAGACTGAAATTCAAAGTAAGATGAAAAATAAAAATATAACTCAGGTTTCTAAATTAAAGATAAAAATATTTAAAACAAAAAGCTCTGCAGAGATTATAGACTAAGATTAAAATTCCTAATCTACAGGTGGATCCTGAAGAATACTGGGCAAAGGATAAGTGAGGAATCAAGGAGACAACAATGTAAGAACAGATACACATGGAAGAAATGAATTTGCTGTCATCACTCAGTATTATAAAACCAATGGAGGCAAGGTGGCCTAGTACTGACTGTTAGAAACTATTCAAACTTCTCAAATCACTATTAAGTGTTTAACAAGTTATAATTCATTTTACTAATAAGAAAAACTTCCCTTCAAAGGACAGTGAAACTGATGAAGTTAATTCTCATATGGGAACTAATGTTAATCAAGCAGAAATACAAATGGCGGGAATCATAATAAAACTGTAAGCACAAAACTACAAAACCTGCGAGACGAAAGCTGGGATAGTCTCCTGTGTCGCCTTGGCTTTATGGGGTAGGTTTTAAGGGTTTAAAAAACACAGAGACATAATTTCAGGATGGAAGACTACAGGAGGTGGAGTCTAAGAACTGCATGGTAATTGTCATACTAAAATGTGATCAGGGACTTACAGCCAGGAGGCTGTCTGGGATTCTTGCTGATGAAGAGTGTAAAATGACATGAAGGACGGGCTAAGGTCCAAAATGAGACCCAGTTAGAAAATGGCAGGTTTTCCCATCTTTGGCTTTAGCTGCACCTTCCTGGTCCATGACAGTCTAAAGATTATTTTGTCAGTTTCCTTTCTCCTCCATTAACCATCCTTGGACTTTCTCTTTACAATCTACATGTTTTCTGGATAATGTCATTCATATTTCTGATTTAATACACTCATAACTCTCAAATTTCTGTTTCTTGACCTTGGCCTCTTTCTGTGGATTCTGATGGATTAGGTAAGATAATGCAACTTAGATCTGACATTTCAGTTTTGGGAACCAAACATAAAATGCCCCGTCTTATGATGTTATTAATTTTCTCTTTCCTCAAAGCAGTTAAATAAGAACTAACTATAAATATATATTATACAGAGAACATATGAACCTCATGGAGAACAACTATGTTCCTTTAGAGTCCCTTAACAGCAGAAGAACTAAGAAATGGAAATCAATATTAGAATCTGAATTATTTTAAAAATCTTTTCATAAGCTATACCAGTAAATCAGATACCAGGTGGTGTTGTAATGGCAAGTTATATTTGCTTATAAAATCATACTTCTGGGGCTGGAGAGATGGCTCAGCGGTTAAGAGCACTGACTGCTCTTGCAGAGGACCCAGGTTCGATTCCTAGCACCCACATGGCGGCTATGAATGGTCCTTGACTCCAGTGCACTTACCTACATGCAGGTAATACATGCATATACATAAAATAAAAATAATAAAATATTTAAAAAATAAATATAAATCTTTAAAATCATACTTCTAAGTCACAATTATAGATTCCATATAATTTAAGTAATTTTTACTTCAGAGGTTCTAGGAAAAATAAAGTGATATATATATTTCACATTCTATTTAAGAAATGCCCAATAATTTTTCCTCTCATCTTTCTGTAAGAGCTCTATGAGGGTAAACTCTTCCTTCCCTACATTCACTACTGTACCCACAGTGCCTAGAAACAAACACAGAGCAAGAAGAATTCCATATACATGCATGATGGATGAGTCAATACACAGGGAAGGGAAAACTGTTATTAGGAACAAAATTTTTTGGCAGCCATCATTTGTCTACTTTTTAATAATATGAGAATAAAGAAAATGTTGAAATTAAATGAACAGATTAAGGATAACTTTCATGCCGTCTGTTCTATAGTTAGTGGTTTTGGGTGTTGTAAATTCTTACAACATGAACAAAAAAATGAAAAACATTTAAATATATCTCTCAAAAATGTTTCTAGGAAACAGCTCTCTAGTTCCTTCAACATTCAACAGACGTTAGAAGATCTTTCTTTTCTATATTTTTATTCAGAAAAAATAAATATTAAGTTAAAAAAAAAAAAACATGGGCCGGAGAGATGGCTAAGTGGTTAAGAGCACTTTGCAGAGGATCAGGGTTCGATTCCCAGCACCCACATGACAGCTGTGATGGTTTGAATGAGAATGTCCCCATAGGCTCAAGTATTTGAACATTTTGTCCCCAGTTGGTGGTGATGTTCTGGGAGGTCTCAGAAGGTGTGGCCTTGCTGGAGGAAGCATGTCTCTGGGGGTGAACGTACAGAGTTCTTAAGCCTTGCTGGATTTCCAGTCACTCTCTGCTTCCTGTGCCTGCTTGAAGATGTGAGAGCTTAGCTTCTGCTCCTACTCCAGCCACCTCTGCTGCCATGCCTCCCCACCATGCTGGACTCTTGTCCCTTTGGAACTGTAAGCTAAATAAACTCTTTCCTCCCTTGGTTACAGTGTTTTATCACAGCAACAGAAAAGTAACTAAGGCAGTGGTTAACAACCATCCATAACTCCAGTTCAGGTGATCCAGCTCCCTCTTCTTACCTCCACAGATATTGCATAACATAGGTGCACCCACCTACATTCAGGCAATACACTCATAAAAATAATAAATACTAAAAAAACAAACATTTTATATATTTTTAAAAATACGCCTTAGCCGCCACATGGGTGCTGGGAATTGAACCCAGGTCCTCTGCAAGAGCAGTCAGTGCTCTTAACTGCTGAGCCATCTCTCCAAGTCCTTAACTCCAGTTCCAGGGGAATCCGAAGCCCTCTTCTGACCTCCGTGGCATTGCACAACATGGGTGCACTCACATACATGCAGGCAATACACTCATACACATAAAATAAAAATAATAAAATATTAAAAAAATACGCCTTAGGCAGTAAATGTTAGGATTAATACAGTGGAACCCAAACAAGTCACAATTTCTTTCCTCTTTGTTCTTACCTTCACAGGAACAGCCCTGTCTTATCAGACCAACCATCAAAGAGGTGCACTGATGGCATTTTGTAGGAGTTGTAAAAGATTTTACGAAAAACTGGTGAGTCTTGCGCTGCAAAACAAATTGATTAAAAAACCTAACCATGGATTACTACAGATTGCCCCACACCACATACTAGAACGTTCCCTGAATAGGAGAATGACGTCTTTCCATCTCTCACATCTTCTTATAGTTTATGTTCTTTACTATTCTTATTAGGTAAATGAATTAGATTAAGATAAAGTAAAAAGTTAAATAATTACATTCTAATGCCATTTGCAAAGTATGTAAGGCAACTGTAGTTTTTCAGGTTTTTTGCTCACTAGTCATGGCTTCAGCAATTCTATAAATTGTTTGTTAGCAAAGAAGAATTAAGTGAAAATGTGTATATTTATACCCCCACAAAAATAGTTAAAAATTTTCATTACTTATATCTTGTTTGTGTGGGGGACATGTGCCACAGGACATGTATAGAGGTCACAGGACAAGGTGTAGGAGTTGACTATCTCTTTCCACCATGTGGATCTCAGGATTGATCCAGGTTGTCAAACTTGAAAGCAGGCACCTTTACCAACACTGACCCATCTCACTGGCTCCACAAATACAAAGTTTTAATAGGCTTTATACCTTATTAAGAGCTGCCCATATCCTTTGTTATTCAATAATTGAAATTGTACATTAATATTTTTCACTCTAACCCCAAAGAGATCCTCACATTGGACACATTTCATGAATAGATGTTAGAAATCTCACGTACTACTGCTCTATTTACTTCTCTAAGTATTCCCTGGTGCCTAATTGGTTGTTCTGAAATATTATGCTCATTGCAAATACTGTAGGTCCTTAATTAAGGAGGTTTGGCTTATATGCAAGAACATGATTTCTTTTACAACTGAAAATGAAGGAATAAACTCCACACTAAATGACCATAAAACAAGTGGAAGTAATAGTATTAAATGGAAATAAAATCTTAAATGGAAAAAAAAGAATGCTAATAAAATATTTTTAAATTAAAAAACAGTACGGTAAAATCCTCATTTATACTTTCTTTCATTTTCTGGGAGTAAAAACAAATATGCTATACAAATCTGTTTTCTCCCATGGAAAGAGGCAGTATTAGCCTTGAGTGGATAAAAATACATACACATTACTCTAGCAACTGATGGCAGTCTAGAATTTCTTACTGAAAGCCCAGTAAAGATCTTCTGATTGATTTATATGATGGTAAGTCAATTTAGAGTTCACCTCCTTGGGATCCCCTATTATTCTCCAATTTATCTCTTAGCATGTTTTAAAAAATACATTTATTATTTTTATTTTATGTGTATGAGTGTTATGCCTGCATGTAGGTAAGTGCACCCATGTTGTGAAATGCCTACGGAGGACAGAAGAGGCTGTTGGATCCCCTGGAACTGGAGTTACAGACAGTTGTTAGCTGCCATGTGGGTGCTGGGATTCGAACATGGGTCTTCTGCAAGAACAGTGTTCTTAACTGCTGAGTCATCTCTCCAGCTCCCTCTTAGCATGTTTTAAAAATAAACAACAGTTCCTCTATAATGATTCTTGAACCCCATACCCCATGTGAATTCAGGAGCAAGTTATGTTCAGTCCTCTGTACATGACCTTCCTCATCTATAGAACAGGACCAACAATG